GAAAATGCATGAGACATTCAAGAAAAAGAAAGTAGTCTAGGGGAGGAAGAAACTTTTGGAAAGGTGCTATGAGAGGAGAGAGAGGATGAAACCAGATCTTGCAGGATTTTAAATGCTATCCTAACCTTTTTTATCCTGCTAATCTTCAGAGCTCCAGCAACTCACTCTGAGCCCACGCCATGCTAAGCTCTCTGGAAGAGTTCATTAGGTGAACATAGATGAATTGTGTGAGTCTGAGGTGTTGCTGGCATCTCAGGGGAGCTTCCTCTGTAGCCAGAAACTAATAAATATTTGGTGAGAGGTTCTGGAATTATGTTGATTTAAAGTCATTTGCAGAGAGCTGATGGTTTCAGTCACAGAAATCTATGAATCTGCTGTAGGAAAGAGCAGTAGCCAGCAAAGGAGATTTAAAAATGGTTTAAAGGAAGTAGAAGAAAATCCCCAATTGAATATAGTTACAAAAGCTACAGAGACATTGGGGATTTGTGGAGTAATTGGGTGATTTTTGTGTTAAGAGTTTTATGTCTGAGCAATTTTGGAAAACAGTGCATAGAATAATCTCCCTCTTTGAAGATTCTTAATAGACTTTAGCTTTGAGAAATTTCATAGTGAAAAAAACTGATTTAACTTAGTTTCCAAATTTCTTTGATCATAGGAATATCCCCACACTTTTAACATAGTAGCATCATCTTCCTGCAAAGTTTCTGAGAAACAGTGCTTTGGGAAGTTTGGTCCATTCAATTAAATGCAGTACCACAGATGATTTTGGTTTTGTAAGGATCAGGCATTATCACTTTCATTCTTCTCTTCATGGGACCTCACAATATTATCTTGCATTAGTCTTTAGTGTACTAAAGTAAAAAACTTGATTATAATATTTTCATAAAATTTTTCAACATGAGTGACAATAAAGCCTATCCATTACATTGACAAATGACATGAGAGAGTCACATTGCAGTAGACTTACTGTGGTGTCTAGTGATTATGTGTGGTCTCATAGAATAAATCATGTCCAGCGTGTAGCATCTATATAAACAATTTCCCACAAATGTGTGCTGTATTATTATTGCTTTTTGTAAAATAATTGAAAGTTTCACAAATTGATTAGTTCACATTTCTAGTTCCTTCCACCCAAATGCATAGAATATCAAATTAAGAATATGTGTGTATAGAATGTGTATGCATATATGTTATAATTAACATATATTTTCTAATTTAAAGCCCTTTCTGTTCACTAGGATATATGTAAGTGTTTTAAAAGTGATTAGAACTATTATTTCTGACTTAAGATAAGCAGGAGCTAATATCTCATTTTCTGCTCTCTTTCCATCTCCTTTAAAGTCCAGTCATTAGAGCCTGAGTGTTTCTGAGGTATCCTTTAGCGGATTTTATTGTTTCATTTCTCTTAGTCACTACCCGTGCAAGTAATCTCACCTTTATACCCCCAAGAGTTATTTTTTAAAAATACTATGTTCAGTTTCTTGAATGACTTTGCAGATATTTCTGTTGTGGAACAAATGATTATATCCTTTTAAAAAGGCTCTTTGGTATATGGGCATTGCCTTTCACTGAACATGCCTGTATATACATCCCTTGTGTATTTCAAAAGGCTCCTTGCTGATATGCTAATCTGGTAGCTACCCAAAAGGTAATGTTTTCATGTACAAATTAAGAAAGTGTCCAACTTGCAAGTGAGCTACCTTTTTTTAAGTACTCTAGCATGTCACTTCATAGACAATATAAAAATCAGATAATAGTAGTCACAAGTATGTATATCAGGGGCGCTATGTTTTCCATTGTTTTTCTTTTCTCTTTCTTTTTTAACTTGTTCTTAGCAACCAATGAAAGATGAAAAGCTGCATTGCTAAATAAACAAAAATAATCCAACTTGTCTTTAACTCTGTATAGAAGAGAGGAAAGCCAAGGCGGAAGAGAAGATTAAAAAGGAAGTGAAAGGTGGGAAACAAGAGAAAGTGAAGCCAACAGCTGCAAAAGTCAAAGAAGTACAGAAAACACCACCTAAGCCCAAAGAGAAGGAGGGGAAAGAGACTGCGGCTGTGTCCAAGCATGAACAGAAAGGTAAACATTCAGAGGAGATGGCCAGAGGTTCTAAGAGAACACTGGGCAAGAAGCAGATACAGTGAAATTAAAAACTCAAAAAGACCGAGATCAGACTTCCAATGGGAGAAAAAGACTTGTATAAGTAAATATATCTGAAAGGCAATGCAGTAAGTGGGCATTAAAATTCATTTATGGAAAGACTAAAATGTATTCACATATCTAAAGATGCATTTTGAAATATTTTTAAAAGAGGATTTGAGTTAGTTATCTGAAGTTACCTGAAGGTTGAGGATGAATGTTAAATTCTTGAGACACGGGATTTCTATTAAGAGATAGAAAAGCAATTTTATGTTTCCTACTCTTTGGAGAACAGCAGTCCAGGGAAAATGACAACAATTTTCAAGGAGTTTTTTAAGGGGTATATGTTCAAATCATATAGAGTAAGTATCATTAAAAACTATCCATACATTCCTGTTGTCTCTGCAAGAGCACATAGCTTAGAATATACATTGGATTATTAAATTTGGTTAATTTAATGGGCGGGAAGTTATAGGAAAAAGAACCCTCAAGTTTCTTTGCTAGCTTCCACTGACTGAGTTGATGACTTTAGGAATCTCCGTATCTGACCCTGTGCAGCAATTCAGTAAGAGTGATGTCAAACTTACATCCCTACTTCACAGAAATAGAGCATTTAAATGGAGATGGAATATAAACCTGAAATTCTTTATGGAAAGGTGCTATGGAAACATAAAAGGATGGAGTTTTCAGAAGGCAGCCAAGGGCTTGTCCCACATCTCTGCCCCTTTTGGAGTCTGTTCTTCCTAAAGCCCATTCCCTGCACTATGCTGTTGCACAGTCCTAAGGCTTCCCGTACAGAATATGGGATCTACTCCGGAGGGACGATTCCTACAAATGCTTCTTAGGGGTGTTGCAAAATAAAACTTTCCTTTACTGTGGTAGTTTTGAACAGTTATATTTGAGGGCTAAAATTAAGGAACGGTTTCTATGGGACTTTCATTAAAAATTTTGAGAACTTTATTACTGAGTAAGCTATTTGGACAGTGAAAATAGTTTTCACCATTATAAGACACAAGATATGAAATTTGCAATCCACACTTTTTTTCTTTTAGATTCCACCTAGAAGTGAGATCATGTGGTGTTTGCCTTCGCAATCCTCTCTTGTATTTTGTCTTTGAATCACTTTTTCCTTTGAATTCACAAGTAATATTTATAAATTTTGATTTATTTGACAAGAGATATATATTTTTTGAAAATATGTTTTGAAAAGGAAAGGAAAGAAGAAAGAAAAAAACTTCTGTCTCTCTTTTCTTGTGACCCACAGAATTTTGAAATAAATGAAAATCACCTAAATTTAAAATTCTGTGGATCACTGACAAAAAAGAGTGGGATTAAAACTTTGGAGCCCTAAAACCTTTCTTCAATTTTAAAAATGATTATATTGCCTTGAAAAAATTAAAAATATTGGCTATTACCTCTCTTAAAACTATATGTTATTTCTGAAATATTTTGTGTAGAAAAAACTATAGTAAGTAAAGAGAAAATATTTTGCATGGACTATTTTACTGTGATAGAAAACAGGAAAATTAATCTTCTGACTCACTGATATATCTATTTAAAATGATTATCAAGGTGTTAAAATACTTTGCATTTTAGATTGCTCTTTAAAGGTGAAAATAATCACATGAAAGCAGCTGAAACATACCAATATATTTTTATTTTTTGTCCATAAATAAAGTATATAAAAATTCATGCCACTTACATATGGGGTATCAAAATACTTATCTAGCAACTAGGAACATGAATAAACTTTTTGATGTCCATTTTTAGTATCTTGGGTTTTTTTTGTGGGGGGGCACATTTCATTGACATAGACACATCACTGGAACATTTTAAAATAATATTTATTTTCTAGGTCACATATATTGTATTTCATTCATATCAGTAATCAGAATTATTAAAGATAGCATTCTATTACCATTTTCATTTTCAATCTACAGTTTTCATTTCCATATAAAGAGCTATTTATCTGTTAAAAGGACATTCAAATATCATTTAAAGTTAGAAACAAAAGCACAAATGTGATTTTATCAGCTAAGTAAATGCATTTGCTAAAGTAAGTCTCCATATTAAGACAGCTACCTTCAATTCAATAACTGTATCATTAGGTAAATAATCAAAACTTTACTTCTAATTCCTGGTCAGACACATAAGTAGATTATTTTTTTTTAATTAAGCAAAGATTCAAGAACATTTATTTATACAAAAATGAAATCACATTATGGTTTCCACTAAACATGATAAACAAAGATGTAGTGTTTTTTAAATAATCTATTTGTGAAGTGGCTCTGATTTTGAGACCTGTATTGATGATTTACTAAAATAGTTGCATAAGTTCTCCTTTGAGCAAGGGATTATTTATTTGCTTAGCTTAAGTTAGTCCTAATGAATTTGAGTCCTTTTCAAATAGACTTCTAAATAGTTCTTTGTAGATAACTAAGGCCTACAGGTCTTTCACTGGAAACAGATTTTTACATGGAGCACATACACTTATTGGCAATTTTTAAATTATATAGTATACATGAAAAGATATTCACATGTAATTACTCTTAATATTATATATTTATAAACAATCTATTTCCACAAAAAGCACTGGGAATCAGATGCATAGGTATGCACATGCCTACCATAAACTTATATACACACTTATATACCACATAATCTAGCTTTTATGGACTAATCAATCTATTTAAAGTAGGGTAAGAAAGGTTGGCATGACCAGGCATTGCTCTCTGATTTTCTGTGGTCTGTGGCAAATCTATGGGGAAGGGAAAGAAAACCAAACCTCACTGCTATGCTCATTCTTTCTTTTCTTCTCCCTCCACTGCCTCCTCCTCTGCCTCTTTTTCCTCTTCCTCTTCTTTCACCTCTTCCTATTCTTCCTTCTCCTCCTCTTCCTTCTTCATCTTCTTCTTTTCAACAACTATCTCAAAATTTTGGCAGGCAGAGAGAGTATAGCTAATATGAATTTACCGTAGCGCAGCAGACCACACATGCCCCATGCTCATCATTCTGTTGACATTCTGCACCCAGAATGCATTTTCTCTCAGCTGCCACTCCACAGGGGACATGGACAAGGCAGCAGCTGAATGGCATCCATCACTGCTCCTTGAAGAGGAGAGAAATGGTCAGCATGTGTTATTCATAGAAGATGTTCATTTGGGGAAAAAAAAATTAAGAAGTGGTGACCAAATATGAAATTATATGAATGATTATCACAAAACTATGAAAGTTAGCATAATAGAACAGTTCATATTTTCTTTAGGAAAATTTTCCTAGTTTAATGTTTGAGTTGCATTTAAAGAAGCATTTCTATGAAATGAATCTTCCAAATCAGGAAGGCTTGGTTTTGCTTTATCCTTAGACAGGTGAAGCAGACACACTGGGCGTTGCCCAACATATACTTGCCTAGAATTCTTGCACATTGTTAAGGTCAACACTCAGGACAGATGGAAATGGGCATCCTAATTTAAAATATTTGAAAATTCTTAATTTAAAATATTGTAAAAATACTCTCATTTTCCTATTGGTGCCATTAGAATGCAACATCATAACATCACTCAAATAAAACAGAAACATCCTAAGAATTGTAACTCAAATAATTTTCTAGATTAAAAAACTAAACATTTTTTGAATTAATAAAGGATTTTCTTTCTTAAATTGAAGGCACATAGGATTATTGGTGCATTAATTAAATGAATAACTTGTGGAGCCAGAAAATATTGGTATAATAAATGCATTTTACCTTGGTCATAATCTAACATAGAGGCTAAAGAGTTTCATTACACTGTCAGCAGTTGGTTAAAGAAAAAACTCCGAAGCATGAAGATTTTAGTTAATTCAATATACTATTCCACATGTTATGTGCATAAATATGCCATCACAATTTGGGGCAGAGAGCATTATTTCATTTTGGGGGATTGCCCAAACCCTTCAAATTCCAAGTAGTCCCTGCATTCTCAACTTCTCTCACACACATACTCTCTGTTGCTGTTGCTGAAGGCTATAGTGTCATTAAGAATCATGGTGAAAGAAACAAAAAACTGAGGGATTTTAGATCAATGATTCTGGAAGATAGTCTAATTAGACCTTCTGAAGAGTTTTTAAAAATGCATATTCTAGGATTTAGACCCATGGAATTATAACACATTCCCCATCTTTTTGATATTTAAATTGCCCTTTGAAACTACTTCTGAATTGTAGGAAGGACAAATCTAAAGAGAATATAGTCACTTAAGGTACTGAAACAAAGGGGAAAGCTTAAAAATTTCGGGAAGTCTTCCCTTGCTCAACCTCAAATTTGCCATGTAAGGGAAATATACTTTTTCATTTTGCTGCATCTTTGATCCAAATCTCCTAGTCTAGAATTTTGCTCAGGAAAACAGTTAGGTCCAGAAAAGAGAAAATGCTCTTTATGTTAATCTTAATTCTCTCCTGTGCCATAGGGTTCTTGTGTCCTGGTTTTAGAAACCCTGGCTGTTACCTAGTATATCCAGGAACAAATAGATTCCTGGACTTGAACTGAGGATTAGCCTCCCTCCAACTTCCCACTTCACCTGTGGGAAAATGTGCTGTAATTCAAGAACCAACACACATGCAAATTCTTGAAATTTCATAAGTTTTGGCTTACTCATATTTAGGTACTAATGAAAAGGATTATATTTTAACATTTACTGCAATAACTACATTTATTTTTTCAAAGACCTGGCAGAGTTTCATAATAAAATGGATTACTTTAAAAATACTGTTAATACTTTAAAAAGAATAAGGTTTACAAAAATCATTGTATGTGTGTTTATTATATAGTAACAAGTTTTATTATTTCATATGTTTGATAGACATAATTTCAAGCACTTAAGGGTGTGTCATGTTGTGAAAATTGAATAAACTCTTGGTCCTAAAGCTGCCTTTGGATTTGTTAGATTAATAAAATGCCTATTTAGAAACGTTAAAATGTAAATCATCTTGAACAAGATTAATTTCATAATATGCAAGCTTTAAAACTTATGGAATAATTCACCAACTGAAATTTGGGTTGGAATGACCTCAGCAGAATCTAAAGTTATGTGAGAATTTAAAGTTCACTGCGATGTCTTTAACTTAGAGGGGAAAGGGAAAAAAAAAAAAAAAAGAACTCTGAAATAATTTGACCAAGCTTGCCCAAAATGTTCAAATCCTTTGTTTTTTTTTTAACTTTTTCCATAGACCATAGACTAGTCAAGATCATAAGATACCTTCAATGAAGAGTACTCAGTTAATTAGCTTAACAATGATATCATGTGATGCTGAAAGTCTGCACATACTCTTCTAATTGAGTACCGTTTCCATGCAGAATCCCTAACACATTGCAAAGGAGTTAGCCTTCCTGCTTGCCTTTTCAAGAAAACGTCCTCAGCTCCATTTAGACAATTAGCAGAAGGGCTTGGAATGAATAACTGGTAAAATATTCCAAGTTGGAAATAATTTCCTGTTGTAAAACTTCTGTTTCATTATTGGAAGTGTATATATGAACAATGAGAAAAATTGCTTTAATATGATGACTTTTATAATGAATTTGATGAAAAATGTTTTGATTAAGAAAAAACAACTGTATGATATTACCCTGAACTAGTCTGTTTCAGTTTTTTAAGGTTATTCTTTTTGTATGGAACAAATCAAACCTTATATTTTTGAGCATTTTTTAATTACGTTTAAACCTTATATTTATTGTTTTTCTTCCCCTGTGTGTTCATATGAGTGCAAATTATTTCTTCACAGAGAATACCGTAGTAAAATAGAATTGTGCTATTTTGTTTGTTTTGTTAAGCCATTTCTCCTTAGAAAAAAGAAAGGTGTTGATGACATTTTTTCATTGCTCTTTTTCTTTCTACTCTGTCAGATCAGTATGCATTCTGTCGATATATGATTGACATGTTTGTCCATGGGGATTTAAAACCAGGTATTCCAAACAATTTTTGTACTTGTCTGTTTTATTAGTCTTCATTTCTAAGATTGTTGGCTTTTTTATGTACTAAACTGTATCTTCATTTAAAAAAATTGCATATTGCATGTGTAGATCTAGAAAAAAACCAATAAAAAACAGAAGTAATAACTGGCATTAGGGCCTTTAATTTTACTGTCTATTACTGCATGGCCTATTGCAAATGAAGTAGGTTGAAAGCTAAAAAAAATGCTAATATCTTTATATACAAAAAATGCTAATATCTTTAATAATATCTTGGAGCGAAGAGGTGGATCATCTTCCTTTATTTCTGGTAAACTTATAAGCCCTATAACAATAAAAGTATTCTTTTTTTTAATAGTGAAAAATATTCATATTAAATCCATCACAATTCAAATATTTAATTTGTTTCAAAAAAATTTTTTTTCTCTCACATGAGCCAGGGTTAGCCACTCCAGAGATCTACTATTGATGGAGATAGTCAACCTTGGAGTTAATAGTCAACATAATGGAGAAATATTTTTACTGAAAGCAATTTATCTATCATCTCTCTTTTATTGTTGCCCAGTGTAACAAGGGATTCTTTATTGTTGCCCAGTGTAACAAGGGATTCTTTTATTGTTGCCCAGTGTAACAAGGGATTCTTTACTAATGTCTTAATAATGAATAACTTGATTGCTTGTACAAGGTCTTTTGCAGATTCAAAGACTGATAGTACTTGTTGTTTGGGGAAACAATTCTAAGAAGATGGTATTGTTAAGGAAGGAGCTAATTTACGTTAGAATAATTGAGGCTGATTGTTTAAAGCAAACTATTCTTTGGCTTTAAGCTATTTTTATGGAAATCTCTCCAAAATGTATAATTACATTTATGCATCTATTGGCAAATGGGCATATCATATTTAAAACAAGTATATAACAAATCTAGGTCCTAGAAAATTTGAAGATCATGAGAATTTTGGCTCTCTGGAAAATTTAGTTAATTCTAGTAACTTATTCAATTTCCACCCCTCCTCCTCTTCTTCATTTTCTTAATCTTTTTACTCTTCTTTTTTTACTTTCTTACTGAGTTAGAAACTGAAACAAGAGGGAAAACCCTGAAAAACATGGTGACTCACTTGGATGATGACTCACTTGGTAGAAATGATTGTTAATGTATGTGTATAGTATCATAGTAAAATTAGATGGAAACATTCAGGAAAGTAGTTTAGTATGGTGAAAGGAGAGGGCTTTAGATGTACATCCAGATATAATCCTTGACCCCAACCTTTTCTAGCATTGGCCCTTCAGCAAATCATTGAACTCCACATGATCGTCAGTGTCTTTACACTGAGGTCACAGTAACAACCTTGCAAATTTGTTGACAAAGCATCTAAGTAGATGCATAAAATAGTATTATAACTTTATTCTTTAAATCATTCAATATAGCACAGACTGTCTGGGTGAACACCCCACATGAAAGAAACAACATTGATGACTCTCAGTCTATATACATCATTAAGTCAATTTTAGGTAACAGATTTGCTGACCAATTTAACTGTGATGGTTTAAGAAAGTTATATTCTACACATATTTTGCTTTGAAGAGATCAATTGTTTACTTATATGCAATATGAATCTATATTCTAATGAGCATGAGCTTTTAAATTCCCTTGTTTGAGGAAAATTATGTGCTCTTTGTGCCCCCCAAATTATTCATACAGCTACTAATTGATCATAAAATACAAGTTCTAAGAAACTCACAGGACAGAGAGAACTATACATTGTCAAAGTCAGTGAGGGATGCTAAGAGTTTAATAATCACAAAGCTAATCATTTCTTTCCAAAAATTCAACAACAGATCAAGATCAGAAGGAACAGTGAAACCATCTCTGCACAAGTTAAGGATAATTCTGCTATTAACCATACAGGGAGAACTCTTCTAAAGTCCTATGTGAACATTTTCTAAGTAGCCATGAGTTCAGTCCCGTAGCATTATCCAATATTCTAACTCCTGGAAATCATTCCCAAGTGCTATAGGATTAGATTTCTTAATATCATTTATTACCTTTCTAATTGCCTTCCTAATTTATTTCATCTACCTATAATCATGATTTTGCAGGCTATTGCTATAATGTCTAAGAAATTAAAGAATATGTAATCAGTATTTCTGGAGAAATACTGTATTTCAGCATTTCAGGGGGTGGGAGGAAGAAGCTGGAGAAGGGAAACCTGTATGGTAAGCCTATTGTTTCATGTAACAAATTCTATGAAACTTCATAGGTGTACAAGAAAGAATATTTATATTACCTTTCTTGGTGAGACAATACATAAGATGGAGTAAGAAAGCACTAAATATGGTCTGTGTTTTGAAAAATAAGGACTGAGAAACAAGACTTATCTGGGCATATTAATTTAGAGAAAATGCAAGTGATAAGACTTTAACTCTGACTGACAATTAGAGGATAAAACAATTCCTGCCAAGTTTATTGCTCTGCATGTATCCAGTATTTATAAAACATTTGTGCTTCCATCTGTTTCTGTTTGGGATTAGTAGAACACCTGTTATTGTTTAGCTAAAGTTCATTATTAATTATTGGTAATGAATTTTGTAAACTATAATTTGATTTTTCCCTTTGGGATAAAGTACTTCCCTTATATAATGTTGCTACACCCTCAAAAGTAGCTCAAACCACAGTTCAGATTTGGAAAACCTTATTAATGAAATGTATTGACACCATGACCTAAGTCCCAAGTTTTGCTTTTTTATCCCATTAAATAAAATACTTCTAACAAAGATAGTCTTAACATTTTTTTTTTTTAGCTAAGATATACCTAAAAATGAACTGAATTGCTCTTTTTGAAACTCTTTAGTGAATATGCACTATCTTATGGTCAGTAACACTCCCCACCTCGATTACAGGGACCATCTTAATAAGCCAGCATAAAGTATAAGGATCATATCATTTCGTTGTATCTAATTAAAATGTTCCTGTACTGACTCACTCTACATTAAGTTGAAAAATTAAGAGAATTCTATTTAAACCTAGTAAATGAGTATGTGTTACTAAGGCTGGCCCTGTGGGCAATTGGAGTAGATGTATACATACAATGTATAATTTTAGGGGTATTATGGATACTAAAGTGTCCCCTTCTCTAGAAATACTGTCTCTGCTGCTCTTAAATGATCTAACAACCCTGCCGTTAGATCTCTTGATTGTGTACATGGTCAATGTTATAGAACATGTTTTGAATAGTCCCTAACCTGTCTTAGGGAAGAGAGGAGGAGGGAAGGAGAGAGAGAGAGCAGATGGATCCTGTTCTAAGGTGGCTGTCCTGAAGCTGATGATGCACACTTTTTAGGGTTAAAGTAGTCTGGTTGTCATTTTCTTATGAGGGAATTATGAAAACTGGCCAATGCAGACATTAGTAGCTACATAGAGACTCAAATTTAGGGTGTTTCATATATTTTTTTTTGGTTTTGCTTTTAGAAATTGATAGTACTGATGGTGAAGATAAATGACTTTAGATTTATTTATCTTTATCAACCTTCCAGTAACTCCAATTTCCTTTTCAATACTTTGCTGCTAAGCACATTTTTCTTAAGTGATAGCCATACCCATAATTTCATTCATTTATGTAGACTCTAAAAGAACCATCATGATCTTGTTAGGCATTTTCACATTTCCTCTTCATCAAGTTCCCCTGGGCCAAATGGACTGCATGTATTGCTGGGCGAAGTCAACTGAGTTAAGCAAGAGGTAAATTTCAATAAGGAAAAAAATCACATGGCTCACAGATGTATTTATATTTACCACAGATAAGGGAATCAGTCCTTCCAGTACAGGAACCAGGCCTCGTATGCATTTGCTTAGTCATTTTAACACTTTCTTCACCTTTTCATCTCTGTATGAAAAAAAAATCATAATCATAAAGCCATTATGATTAAAGTTCAATACAAGTTAAAGTTTATCCCTTAGAAGTTACCCCAACCATTGAAATTCCGGCTGCTGTCTGACTTTTGCTTGAGCCAAGAATTTACGTCAAGGTGATTTATTCCACTTTCTGTGTCATTTACTGTCTTAAAATTGAAGGTATTCACCTACCCAAATCTTCTCGGACTATAATAAAGTATTCTTTGGCAGCCTGTATTCCAATTCTGTGGGTTTTAAGTCCACAGCCAGAAAGAGCCTCAAGGAATAAGTTAGCTCTCATTTTATTAAGAGCCTTTTCTTGAACTTCAGTTGTGCCTAACTGCGTTTTTGGTTTGATCCTGCTGAGAAGAGGTCAAATGTAATTGCATTATAGTCACTGTTATTTAATGGTTTAATCAATGTGTTTCAGAGCTCAATTGGCTATAATGGAAAAAACTAAGTAAGATTCAGCCTTGCTTTACTTTTCTCTAAAAAATACTGGTCCATGAAAACATACTCACTTTAGTTCTGAACGTCTAATTATTTTCACAAAATAAAAGCTTTGGGAGTTTCTATGTTAACTCTGTAAATATTTGTTGAATCCCCTCAGCAAGATAGTCCAGAAAAGAGATAAGACATGGCATAAATAACTTTATAACCAAGGATAAGTTGATAATGATGCAACAGAGGCTTAGAAAATGTACATGCTAATCTCAGTATACTAGGAACAATAGTTACCTCCACTTACCACTTGGACCTCTTAATGTTTTTAATATTTTAAATCATTTAAAAAAGGGTTTATGGAAGTAAGAATAAAGGGAGAGTGAAAATTGTGATAAGAACTTAAACATAGCAAAGCTAAAAGTTTATTTCATCAGTTTTCTGATTTTGAAGGTGTATATACTCCAAATTGGAAACATCTTCAGAAAGGAACTAACTGCCCATCAATTACCATGTATAAACCTGCAATATATGCATCTAATAGATACTAATTCCAGATTTCAAGCACATCTTTCATAGGTTCTAGCATAATATTACTTTTGGTTCTTTTAGAATTTGCATCATCAAAACGCAGCAGGCGAGTTTTTGAGATCTTCGAGGCTCATAATTTCATCGAAAAAATAATATCATTTCCATCCCATAGCTGTGAGACACTTTTTAGGTTAATAAACATTATTTATTATTTAGAAGGATAAATCCAGTGATTTTTTATGTATACATTATTGATTTCATTCTGATACCTGCCTTTACCTTTCTTTAGCATTTGTCCACTTAAAAACCACAAATTTTGGCACATAGATTTTTATAAAAGATGAAAAGGTACTATAACATACCCTTTTAACAAAATGAGATAGACTAGCTTCTTGCTACAAAATATTGCATGATAAAGTCCTTCTGGTTGAAGGACTAGCTGGATGAGAATACCATATTTCCTTTTTGTCCTTTGAAATGAGTTTTTCAGTCATTGATTCTTGAGAAAATTCATTGTTACTTGAATATTCACAGTCTGAGATTTCATTTGAATGATCAATTTCAATTTCACCTTAATCATTAAAGTTTAGCATACTGTTATCTCTCTTTTTGCATTTGTCTTCTGATTCATCTAATAACTAAAATATCTTCCTCAGTCAGTTTTCTTCTCTTTGCAGTTATAGATGAAAAATAGAACTTCTAAATTCTAAACTGTGTTCAGTGAAACTAAAAGTAGACCATAAGAATGTTTCTAGACTTCTTTTATACCTTCTCAAGTGATGATGCACTACTTTAGTCACAACAATAAGAAAACTGAATGATGATGAGCTAATGATGGTTTATTTTGCAATTGCATCATCCTTCTAGGCAACTCTATAATTTTTCTATTCTTTCTTATTATTTTAGTCATTTGTAGCATTGTTGGGAATAATTGATGAGTAATAATGAAATAATTCCTAAGTTGATGAAATAGAAATGTTCAAGATAGGGGGAAAAAAACATTCCATCATATATCCTGGATTTTTTTTTTTAAAGATTTTATTTATTTTTGACAGAGAGAGAGAGCACAAGCAGGGGAACAGCAGAGAGAGCGGGAGAAGCAGACTCCCTGCTGGAACAGGGAGCCCGATGCGGGGCTCGATCCCAGGACCCTGAGATCATGACCTGAGCCGAAGGCAGACGCTTAACCGTCTGAGCCACCCAGGCGCCCCCATATATACTGGATTTTTAAATTTGTCCAATGGTGCCACATAATAATTACAAGTTAGAATGAATTTAAAAAATAATTTTATAATTTTATTTATAAAAATAAATTTTATTTATAATTTTATTCTGTTTAAAAAATAAGTAATTTTTTTCTCTGTTCCTTGGAAGACCTATAAGAAAAGATAAGATACATCAGTCTCCACAAGTAGTTACAATTGTTCAAAACCAAACCAAACCAAAACTCAAAAACTATGATTAGCTTCGATAGACCCTGATAGCACACTGAGAATCAATGGTGAGAACATAAATGTGAAGGTCACACAAGCCAGGATTTAAATACTTTCCTTGTGTTTAAAAAATTTTTTTGAGTCTCAGTTTTTTATTAAAATGTATTTCTTGGGGCGCCTGGGTGGCTCAGTTGGTTGGGCGACTGCCTTCGGTTCAGGTCATGATCCTGGAGTCCCTGGATCGAGTCCCGCATCAGGCTCCCTGCTCGGCGGGGAGTCTGCTTCTCCCTCTGACCCTCCCCCCTCTCATGTGCTCTCTCTCATTCTCTCTCTCTCAAGTAAATGAATAAAATCTTTAAAAAAAAAATGTATTTCTTAAGGCTTTTAAGATGATGAAATAAGAAAGTATATGCACATGTTTTTGCTTTCTCTTTTACTATGCAAATTTACTGCAAAAAAGATAGTGCTTCTAATGTGAAAAATCAGAGAAGATCTTATGGAAGAAAAAAAGTTGAAATGGGTCTTGAGACATTGGTAGACTCTGTCTATATGAATTTAAGGATAAAGATATAAAGACTGAAGGGATAACACTTCAGGCACAGAATCACACTATCTTGAAATGTTCTTTTGTGACTGACTACCAGCTGTTGAGTATTTATTCTCCATTAGTTTCTTAAAATAATCTTATTTAATCTTTATAAAACCTTGGGAGGACTATATCATCATACTTGTTTTGCAGAACAGAGAATTGAGGTAGAGAGAATTTAAGGCTTTTGTCCAAGTCAAACACAATCCAGACAGGGGATTCAAACCCAGCCTGGCTAATTCTAAAGCCCAAAGCTCCCTGGTTTTTTAGGCATAGTTGGGGAACTGCAAGTGGTTCACTTTGGTTGACACTCAGGGAACCTAGAAAGAGAAACAGAATTGTAAACATTTGTGCAAAAAGGTTTGGAGGGAATAGAATTGGAAAGACCAGTTAGAATGTGTGCAAGGAGAAGAAGTGAAGATTGATCTTGGTAGATGTGATTAAGGGAATTAAGATGATTTTAGAGATATCACAGAGGTAGAATCATGGGATTTATTATCACGAATACCAAAGGAGAGGAAAGTAAGATTTTTCAGAGGTTATTGGCCTGAAAAACCAAAACAAACAAGCAAACAAAAAACCCTAAATAGGAAGTAAAGGAAGAAAGTGGGTCAAAATTCACGGGGAGTGGGCGGGGTGGGAAAAGAGATTTGGAACCCATTTTCTATACTTAAAGCCACAGATAGTATTCAGTTGCAAAAGGGGAATATGTGAAGATTCCCATCCAAACATCATTTGTTAAGCACCTGCTAAATACGAAGGCTCATACCAGGTACTCTCATGCACTTATACCAAGGCTCATACCAGGTACTCTCATACACTTTACTCATTAAATTCTCACAGCAACTTCTGAAGTTATCTGCAGTTAGATAACCAAGTGTGCAGTTTCGGGGAGAGGTCAATGGTGGAAATGAGGTTGCTAAAAGAGTGAATGAAGTAAGTCAGTGTACAAATAACTGAATACCTTCTGCATGCTCAGCAGTCCCAGACCAAGCACAGTAGGGGATGTAAGAACACTAAAGGATGATCTCTAACTTCAATGTGGAGTGGATGAGTATTTGAAAGAGAAAAAGGAACTAATAAATGATAGAAAAAGGCTAAAGTTGGGAGTTAGATTGCATAATACCAGCACTAAATGTTACAAGTTTCGGAGAGACATCTGTGATTCCTGATGTCAGAGAAGAAAACAGATATCTAGAACTTGAAAAATGGATAGTATTTGATATGAATGGAAGAGAAAACAAACAGGGATGTGACATGGCAGTGCATGTGAAATTGATGTGTTTGTATGACAATGAGGATATCAGACTGACAACAAGATAAATGAAGATGAGAAAACATCAGCAAGAAGTGATAAGTTTGTGGTGACATTACAGATGCTTGGTCAATCAGGCAAAGCTGAAACTTGGCGTGGAAGAGAGTCTGAAAAATTTTAAGTAGAACAATGACATGAAACCAGCATTTCAGAGAGTGTGATCAGGCAGCATCTGCTTAAGGGATTGGAAATGGGTTAAGTTTATGAACAATTGCTAAAGCTGATGAACCTAAAACATGGTTTTAAAGGAAGAAAGGATTTAAATTTACTAAGTCATTGTTCCTATAGGTGGTGATGGAAACTGTGTATAAGTAACTTAAGAAATTAATGTTGCAACTTGGGGCGCCTGGGTGGCTCAGTCGTTAAGCGTCTGCCTTCGGCTCCGGTCATGATCCCAAGGTCCTGGGATCGAGCCCCACATCAGGCTCCCTGCTCTGCAGGAAGCCTGCTTCTCTCTCTCCCCCTCCCCCTGCTTGTGTTCCCTCTCTTGCTGTGTCTCTCTCTGTCAAATAAATAATAAAATCTTTAAAAAAAAAAAAAAAGAAAGAAATTAATGTTGCAACTCAAAAGGTTATAAACCATTTTGACAAAATTCACACACGTGGTAGAAACTTAAATGAGGTTTAGATATAAATGTGAAGAGTAAAGTATGTGTGACTATTTATTAAAAACACAGTAGCATGAGA